TGAGCCAGACACTGAGCTGCCTAACCAAAGCTGGCAGTTCAAACCTACCAGTGGTTCCACGGGAGAAAAGAGGCCATCTGCTCCCCAAGAGATCCAAAGTCTATGAAACCCAAAAGGGTGGTTCTACCCTGTTGTTCTACCGGGGTCGCTGTAAGTCAGAATCGACTCAATGGCAATGATTTGGGAAGGGAGGCTAAAGTAATGGGGATAAACCATGAAATAGCCATAAAAAATTTATGAATTATTTTGAAAAGACTTGCATTAAAATGATGTATGTGCTAGCTACTAAGAATTCTATAAAAGGCAGTTGACTAGAATTATTTTCAACAAAATGCCCACTATAACTTAGATTCTTCAACATTAAATTTGAAATCAATGGTTATGTTTTTTAATGTATAGTTATGAAGTATGAAGGGCTCAAATAATTCTAAAAAGTTCAAAATAGAAATCCTGTTTCCTCTCAAAAATTTAATTTTCAAGACAATCCTAAGATACCAAATATAAAGGTTAACAGATAAAGACAGATTCAAAATTAATTCAGAATAGTTTCTATGTCCAGAAAATGGTGTTCATAAAATAACAATCCCTAAAAGCGACAAGCATTATAAAATAACCAATAAATCAATTACAGAAAAGTCCTGACTCCCCCCAAATTGTGCCGCTAGAATTCTCCCATTTCCCATGCAGACTGCTTTCTAATGATCAGAGAGCAAAAAGCAGCCTAGAAAATGATTCAGTAACAAATGCTTACTTGTTCTATAGGAGATGAGGATTCCAATCTCTTTGACTTTGATGGTGATGAAATTCTTGCACATTTATCACTGCCAATATTCTTTGGAAGTAAAAATAGATAGATGGTAGATTGATTGAGTAAAGGCATACTTTTTTTTTATCCAAAAGACCCACATTTGAGGATAATCATGCTTGTCTTTTGACTTTACCCACCTGTACCCAACTAATCCCTTTAACAACTGAGTATGTTTTTCAATTTTCTCTAATCTTCAAAGGGTACATAATTTTGGCTGTATATTTTCCTCCTATCCAACTACTGGGCAGTTTTTACTAGAGGCTTAACTTCAAAAGAGCATGCTACAAATAATCCCTACTCATAAAAACCCTGTAAAATGGAACAGAACTGTTCCATGGGGCTAATCTTCATAGAAAGATTAGCTGCGCTTTCATGGGAAGGTTAACTGTCTCTGGGTTAATTCTCATGGGAACAGCTCATTAGAGGACTTTTCTCTTAGCCACTGGTTGGATTCAAACCACTAACCTGGATATCAGCTGAGTACTTAAATACTGGGCCACATAACTACTGAGCAATCAATCTACCAGTCATGAAGACCAAAAACTACTTTCCAGTCATTCAAGTAAGGCATTATACTCAATCAACTTTCCTAAAATATATTTTAACATTCCATTTCTTCCTGCAATATTATCAGCATTAAAAAAAAGGAAAAAAGAAAAAATCTAATCAGTGTTAAGGCCTTTACCTCTGATGTGTACTCAATCAACTTTCCTAAAATATATTTTAACATTCCATTTCTTCCTGCAATATTATCAGCATTAAAAAAAAGGAAAAAAGAAAAAATCTAATCAGTGTTAAGGCCTTTACCTCTGATGTGCTTGGCTCGGGTTTCTTATCCAAGTGATTTTGCCCGTGGACGGGATCTGTAACAGTTCAGTATAAAAAGGACAGCATCAGCAACCAGTTAGTTTTATATACAGAAGAAAAAAAATTAGAAAGCCAAAAGTACTATTTCAATCAAGTTTAGTTGGTAAAATAGCAGTTTTCCAAGTAAACATTTAATATGCTTTAGAGTCAATGTTTCTCTGTAGCACTCAGAAATTACTACAAAAACTACTCAATGATTACCATAGAAATGGTGCTATTCCTCAACTTTAAACCAGGCAGTCCTCCAGCATCTACTTTCAAATAATGAAATAATGTACCTTTATCTTTTCGTTCTTCGGTATCCACTCTCCGTCTACTTCCTTTCCTGTCATTCACATGAGATGACTTTCTCTGGGTGCCTGGGTTGCTACTCTGAGAAGCTGATTGACTGACGGAAGGGCTCTGTAAAATGAACAAAACCCAACCAATATTTTTTTGTATTATACACTTACTCAGGGAAGTGCAAACACAAAAAAATTACATAATTGCTCTTCGTGTCTTAAAATCCATGGCCCTTTTTTCTTTATATTTTTGAATTTTCAAAAAGGCAGGACCTAAGAACCATATTTAATTACACAATCTCCAGTTACTGCACATACTCGAGTATAAATCAACCCGAGTATCAGCCGAGGCACCTAATTTTACCACAAAAACTTCATTAAAAATGTGCTGTAATACTCGGCCTTATACATGAGTATATACGGTATATTCTTATTACTGAGCCTAACTAGCCAATTTGGTCAAAATTAGTAGCTATAAACTTTCTCTAGGGAACACCGTATTTTAGGGAGCCAAGCTGACCGTATTTCGCCCACTACATTTTTTATATAAAGCAACATCTCCAGATCCATCAGTCAGAGGAGATGCATTTGCAAAGCCCTGACTGTTGAGGGGTTTAAAAAAAACCCTGAATTGCAAATCAGCACATGCAGTACAACAGGAGCCAGCACTCAGAGGACACTGTCAACAAATCATTTCAACTTGCCCTTCTGTGAAACATCAGCAGGAATAAAGCAGTTTGAAAACTACACAATCATTAAGGATCCTTTCCCCCCATATAGCATGCTATATATCAATGTTTCGCACAAGCTTCTGTAGCAGTTTTCTAGAAGAGAACCCAAGTCCTATCAAACCCAGTATATGATCAAATTTTCTAATCTATAAATATTGAGTTACACTCATTTAACAAAAAAACTCACAGCATATCCTCACATCAGAGTATAGGTTTTACATTCATTAAAGGAAAAAAGGCAAAAAGTTAAACTATGGTTTTATAAAGATACATAATGTTAAGGGAAAAGAACACATCCATGAGATAAACGCACTTAGTACACCATGACTAATTCCGACACACATGAGCACATCACAGTAATTCCTAGACACCTGTGCTAGGCTGAACTGCTATCTCAGATAGGCTATTGTCATTGCTCAGACTTGAGGTTTTTGGTAAAGACAGTAAACTGACCATATGGGGGTTAAAAGTTCTTACATGCTGTACCTTCCTGTAACATTCCACTTTGATACACTCAACAGAAACAATGCCCAGCTATCACTTGGGTACCCACCCCCCTCACTAAGGTTCCCATATCTCTGGAGTGAAATTAGACACTTCTCTCAATGTTGCCAGTGAACCCCTCTTATAAAGCAGGGACTTTATTCTATGATACCCTCCCCTCAAATGACTTTTAAATTCTAAAGATAAAGAACACAATTTTGTTCAAAAACATTTATCAAAGCCCAGTGTTTGGCACACTGCGCAAGGGAAAAATTACAGTATCACAAGTGACTACCAATCCGGTGTACTCTACCCATGCTACGGCTGAACGAAAACACACACACGCCAGCCCCCCTCAGGTGGCACTGTCAGATAAACACTGGAATAACCAAAAACGAGCAATTCAAGCCCACAAACCACTGAGGGAAAAAGGTGAACCTGTCTGCTCCCATAAACATTGTCTCAGAAACACTGTACACAGTAACTATGAGTCAGAATCAAGTCTAACAGTGCGTTTTGAGTACAATTTACTAAAAAAAACAAAGCTCTCTCATATTTGCATATCTTGAATGGGGTTCCTAAGGATTAATCTCTAATATACATTATTTTTGCTAGTAAAATATGTCTTGGTTCAAATGAAGCTACTAGACTAAAATTTACTTGACTCAACTGTATCACTGACTAACACTATGGCTAGGACTCATTTAACTCTTGTAAAATGTGAAAAGGAAGTACATGATTTATTACATAATAATCTTTCAGTTTAAAAAGTATTTGTTTAACATTAGGAATGATGACTTAAAAGAGAAACTATATTTGAGAATGATGTTGGCAACAAATGTACAAATGTGCTTGACACAATGGATGTATGTATGGATTGTGATAAGAATTGTACAAGCCCCAATAAAATAATTTTTTTTAAAAAGAGAGAGACTATATTAGAAGAGCCTTCTGATGAGTAACTTTTAAGATTTGATTTTATACATACGGAAAGAGCAGGGAAAGCCTGTTCATCTCTGTTCTGAATCTCATAAAGTAAGCGAGACTCTTCCATAGCTTGCTTCTCTCTGCGTTGCTCTGGAGAGAGGCCAAAATAATTAGATTCTCGACTTGTGTGATCAAAATCCTCAGCTCTCTCACGATCGGGTTTTCTGTCAAATAAAACATTTTTATCAGGAAAAGTAAAATGACAACACGTACTGAGTACCTAATATAAAATAAACGATCAACTTTGCGATACCAACAAATCTGTAACAAATTTAAGTTCCTATACCAACAAACGTTAGTCAAGACAAATTAAAAATAGAAAAACATAACTCCAATTAACAGACATAATCTAGATGCTTTTCATTTCTTGTATTTCTTTCTTTCATCAGAACAGAAATTTAAATACTGCAATTGTTCTTTATGCCATCTGTCTTCCAATTCACAAAGGATAATTCACTCACAAATGAAAAGTTAACCATTTAGGTTTCAAAACACTTCCCTTGTAATTAAAGGATAATGTTTAAAGAGATGCCAGGAACACCCTATTTACATAAAACACCCAGAATGGACATAGAGAACTTAAAAGGAAATATTAATGTGCCAATGTAGCTACTCCACATGACTGCCAAAAAAGTAAATAAATGGAGTTTAGGATTTAACCCAAGTGTGGTATGCATGGAAGTCAGAAGAGAGCCCGAAGCTTGCTCTTGAGCAGAAGCTACAAAGATTGAAGGAAATGAAATGAGATGAACAGCACATTTCAAAAGGCAGCCCCAAAAGACAAATTTTTTTAAAAAGGGCTAGGTATTACTATGAAACGTGCAGAGACCCAAGGTTAGAAGGACAAAGGGGAAGAACATGTTCAGCATTTTTCAAGCTAAAAGAATTGTAGGAAAATTTCAAGCCTCGAGTTGCATTATGAAAGGAACCTTTGGGGAAAATACTGGTCAGTACAGGAAACATAAAAGAAAATGGAAGGAATGCAGAGTCACTCTAGACAAAAAGAATTGGTCGATAGTCAACCATTTCAAGACTTAGCACATGATCAAGAACTGATGGTACTGAAGGAAGAAGTTCAACCTGCAGTGAGGCAGTGGTGAAAAGCAAGGCTCTAAGTATAAAATGAGAATCAACAGAAATGTTTCCAAAAGCTGAGGTCCCTATCTGTGCCTATTCCAAAGAAAATTGAACCAACAGAATGCAGAAAGAATTGAAAAAACCAAATGCAAGTACATTTTTGCTGAAGATAATCCAAAAAGTGTTGCACCAGTACATCAGCAGGGAAATGCTAGGAATCCAAGCTGAATTCAGAAAAGGACATGGAACACAAGGGATACCATTCCAGACTGCAGATGGCTCTTGGCTGACAACAGTCTCAGAAAAATGTTTACCAATGTTTTACTGAGTATGCAAAGGCATTCAACTGTGTGGATTTTAACAAATTATGGGTAACATTGAGATGAATGAAAAATTCAACAACATTCTATTGTACTCATGTGGAACCTGTGCATAGACCAAGAGGCAATGTTAGGAAAAATAAAGAGAGGCTAAGGTATGGCTGAAAATCAGAAAACATGAGATTCCCCCCACCTTAATTACTCAAACTGGAGGCTGAGTAAATCATCGGAGATGCTGGACTACATAATGGAGAATACAGCACCAGAATGGAAGGTTTATTAACTGTGATGTGATATGCAAATGAAATAACCTTGAAAGCCATGAGGAGAGGATATACTTACTGATGAAGATGTGAGACTACAGCCTTTGGTATAGTTTACATCCCAAGGTAAAGAAAGAAAAATCCTCAAAATATGATAAACAGAAAAGACAAATTGTTGTAGATTTAATTTTACTTGGATCTACAATCAACACTCATGGCAGCAGCAGGCAAGAAACCAAATGACATACAACATTGAGCAAATGTGCTGAAAAATCTCTTTTAAAGGGTTGAAAGTGTGAAGAAGTCTTAGAGAATTAATATACACCTGATACAGCCATGTTATTTTCAATCACCTCTTATGAAGGTGACAGCTGGACAATGAATAAGATCAAAGAACTGATGCCTGTGTGTTGACAGTGAACAATATTAAATACATGATGACGTACTTCCCAAAGAACAGTCAAAATACTCCTCAAAAGGATTTTGGCGCTTTGTCTTACATACGTTGGTCAGGCTGTCAGGTGAGATCAGTTCTTGGAAGAGGACATCATGGTCAGTAAAGCAGGTCAGTAAAGAGGAAGCTTCTCAAGGAGATGGTTAGACAGAGTGGCTGCAACAATGGATCAAACATAGCAACAATCATATATAAGACGGGGCAAAATGTCGTTCTGTTGGCCATGGGGTCACTATGAGTCAAGAATCAATGGTACCAAACAACATTAACATCCATCTAATCCTGTGTGCATGGATTTATATCTGTTGTGTTGTTGTTAGGTGCCATCTAGTCGGTTCTGATCCACAGAAACTTTATGCACAACAGAACAAAAAATGCATGAGCCCACTGTTGCAGCCACTGTGCCAATCCATCTCCTCAAGGCCTTCAACATTTTTTCTCGGCCCCTCTACTAAACCTGATGTCCTTCTCCAGGGACTGGTCTCTGCTGACACCTTAACCCTCAAAGTAACATTCATGCTTTTCAATACACTTAAAGAGGTCCTGGCATAGTAGTTACATGTCGGGGTGTGATCCACATATTCAGCAGTTCAAAACCACCAGCCTCTCTTCCAGAGAAAGATGGGACTGTCTAATACCATGATGAGTTAACTGTCTGAGACACGCTCAAGGCAGCTCAACCCTCCTCCAATGCTGATGCCACATTCTTCTTCATATAAGCTTGCTTCTATGAATATTTGCCCAGGATACAAATTGAGTTAAGTATATGAGAGGACACAACCATGTCACACACCTTTCCTGATTTTAAATCACCCTTGTTCCATTTGCACAACTGCCTCTTAATCCATGTAAGTTCTGCAAGAACTCGATGATGAACTCCCATTTTTCTCATGCTGTCCACAGATGTTTATGAGTCACACAGTTGAAAGCCTTGGCATAGTCATTACAACACAAGTAAACATATTCTCTGCTTTGAGCCAAGATCCATCTCACGTCAGCAGTGGTACTCCTAGGGTTCCACATCCTTCTCTGAATCTGGCCTGAACCCTGCCAATGTACTACTATGGGATGATACTCAGCAACATTTTATTTGCAGGTGGTATCAATGATATTGTTTACATCTACTAGAGACAACTACACCGTTATCTAACAGTTTTACAATAGTAGGAAACCAAAATACAAACCCTACATGAAAAATCTTATTTGTCAGAGTAAAGACAAATCATCTCCTTTATAAGAAAGGGCTTAACCATAGTGGCCATCCGATTTTTTTTTTCCAAACCCTGAAATAACTAGCCATTTTTGTGCTCAGATAGCCCTTCTTACAATACCTTCTCTAATTCCAGTATGGCAACAGTTTATTGGGAGAAAGCAAAGCCTTTCTCAAACCTAGTGGTAGAAAACCCCAAGGATGATTCACTAAGTCTATGGAAGTTAACACCACCATTAAACATTCAAAATACTACTGGAATACTTACTACACAATGCTCACCTTAACCTCATCTACAAGAGAAACAATTATTCTTATAAGCAGCTAATTCAAGAAGACGCAGAAGCACACATGACAATTATGATTTGTTATGCATGGTTTTCTCCAAAAAGGACTTTATCACTATGTAACAAACGACAAAAATGAGGGGCTATGAAGGTCGCGTTTCCAGCTTTATAGATAAGTCTACTTCAAGTGGCCTATGAAACCCTAGAAATAGTTATGACAAATACACCCCCCTCAAAAAAAAAAACATTGAATTTAGCAATATGACTTTAGTAAATTTTAAGATCTTATTTAAAAAATTAAGTAACTGTTAATCAATGTTTTAATATATAGTAAAACACACCCATAATCAAGCACACTAATTTATGACTAATTCCAAGTACTACTAGATTACTTCTATCAGTCACCATGTCAAAAATTCTATGTATTTACCTACTATCTCATCAAACGTCAGTATTTTTATATAACAAGTATTATACATGCCATACAAAGAAGACCCAGGAATTCTAATAAGATGAAAACATTTCCCATCTGTCCAAAATTTCTACAAATTTCTTGAAACTGGAATCAACACCAGAAACATATTGCCTATATCTTGGATTTCTAACAAACAAAACATAGTTTCCCTTCAATCCAAAAGTAATGTATTCTTATAAAACCTTTTATAAGCTGAAATAGTGTAAAGCAAAGAAGCAATTATAAATTTGTTTGTGAAATAATGTAATTTCACAAATACATGTGAAATTTCCTTTAGTATCCCCAAACCCAAGAAATAACCTATCAAAGCATACAATAAATTATATATACAGTGAACCCTCGCCACTTCGCGCTTCGACTTCCGCGGCTTCACTCTATCGCGGTTTTTGCGTAACAGCGCATGCTCTGTCATTACTGCCACTGAT